TCCAAGATAGCCAGGGCTACACAGAGAAATCCTGCCTCAAAAAACAAAGCCAAACAACAACAACAACAAAAAACTGAACAAAAATTCAGTAGCTTCCCAGGGTCAGCCATTTCGCAGAGATGTGGAGGGGCCGTGGTCCCTCCTCCAGCCTCCTCCAGTAGAGTGGCACTGAAATGCAGACTTCATTTTTTCATTCTCCCAGCCACTTGCAAGGTCCCAGAGGTTTCTTTGATTCTTTACAAAGCCCATTCCCCACTGCTCTTTCTTAGAGATTTAGAGAGTAAGGAGGGGATGGGCAAAGAGAACACTTCTGGGCGATGCACTTGGCGAAACACAGCCTCTCACCCTGTCTTCTGTACAAACCCTACAAGCCACAGGACAGTGCAGTGGATTTGAGTTCCTTAAACCAGTCCCAACCCTTGCAGAAATGACACACAGGGGCCTGTTGTTCCTCCTCAAGCCAGACTGGGCTCTTGGGGCTTTGTGCCACCATCTGCTTCATCCTTGGATCAAGGCAGTGAAACCTAAATCAAACACTGGGAGACAGGCAGAACCCCAGGCAACTGTGTTGAAGACAGGAGACTTTACTGACCTCCTCTGCCCTCTGAAAAACCACAAAGCTTTTGCTACAGGGACTGCACTAGAGGGGAACATTCCTACAGTACTGTCAGTGACTATATGCCTTTTATCTTTTGTTTGAAAGGCAGATGATCACCCTTAAGTTTAAATTGGCCTAGAACTCAAGATCCTCTTAGAATCAAGTAAATTCTGTGTGTGTTTCTTTCAGCTAAATTGAGAGTACCCTGAGGGCGGGAAACAGGTTTAAACTTGTGCCTTTAATAGCTACCTTGGTTTCTGGTTCTCCTTGGCTCCTTCAGAAACCTGTTGTTTGAGGGGAATTAATTAAGGTCTTTGTTTTTGTTTCCTTTATCTGGAAGTCTCCAGGCTCTGGTTAGGTCTGATAAGACACTAGAGTGGAGCCCAACAGGGTTTTCTAACCTTGTTCACTCTGAGTCACCCAGTTAGGGCCTCATCCTAGCCGACAGAATCGGCAGGGAGGTACCTGGGAACGTGTCCGTTTCTTACCTGACGACAGCGATGTTGGTTTTGTTGAGACAGAATCCACACTGGCTTTGAATATGTGGCAATCCTCCTGGCCCCAGCTAGGCTAACAGGCCACTACAGCCTTGTTTGGAAACACAGGTATTTTATGAGCGAAGCATTTTGATAACTATTACAAGTGGCTGTTTTGGACTAGGCTCCTAAGCCAGGTCCCAAGAGACCAGATTAGAAACCCGAGGCGCTCCCAGAGCTGCTCGCCATCGGGTTAACCTTACCTGACCCCAGAGAAGCCTGTTGGTTTGAACCTAGCAAAGCAGTCTTTAGGCAGATTTGATTTTCTTTTGCCTTAGTCTGCCTTACGAGGAAAGTAACTTTGAAATGACCCAACTACTTCTTGTCCCCTTCAGCTTTGTAACCTCAACAAAGTCTTTGCTCAGTTCACTCCATTCTACAACCACAAAGAGGGCCAATGAAGATCTGGAAGCTGTAATTTTGACTTTGAAGTTTTGGGGGGGCATGGTGCTGGGAACTGGAACTAAGAGTTTATGAATCATAAGCATACTGCTTTCCACTGAGCTACATTTCCAGCCTTTTTTTTTTTTTAATGTTTTAGTTTATGGGCATGTTATTTAGCCTGCATGTGTGGGGGTGTTGGATCCCTCAGAACTGAAGTTACAGGAAGATCCGGGCCTCTGACTGTAGGAGCTGCACACATTCATAACCATTTTTTTTTCCAGACAAGGTCTCAAAAATCCCAGGCTAGCCTCAAACTCTTTAACTAGCTGAGGTGACCTAGACATCTGGCTCCTTCTACGTTCACCTTTAAGTGCCAGGATGGCAGGTATATTCCACCATGCACAGATAAAGAACACTTTCATGAACAGTGTTTCCGCTGCACTGTAGGGAGGAAGATCATAGACGAAACTGTTGGCTCTGGATTGTACTTAATAGTTCTATAGTCTATGGAGAACAGGGCGCCATCGTCCTGGTGGTGAGCCATGAGACTTTAACACACCTTCAAAGATATAAGAGTCTGAGGTCAGCACAGTCCTTACAGAAAGCACTAGGTTAGCTAAGTCTGCGCTTGTGAGACCCTGTTTCCAGCTTGTAGCATTTTTTTTTGGTTTTTCGTTTTGTTTCTGGAGGCAGGGTTTCTCTATGTAACTGTTCTGGCTGTCCTGGAACTCACTCTGTAGACCAGGTTAACCTCAAACTCAAAGATTCACCTGCCTCTATCTCCTGAGTGCTGGGATTAAAGGCGGGCGTCACCACTGCCCAGTGCCTATAGAGATTTTGAAGATTCTTTTTGTGTATGAATGTTTTGCCTGCAGGTACATAAGTGCACCATATGCATGCAGCGCCTGCACAGGCCAGGAGAGGGCACTGGATCCTTTGGAAATGGTTTGTTAAGCACACTATGGTTGCTGGGAATTGAACCTGAGTTCTCTGTAAGAACACCCAGTGCTCTTAACCACAAGTCATTTCTCCAGGCACAAGCTCATGGGGGGAGTTTTAATCTCATCCCCCTTCTTCCTGCACGTCTACACTTGGTCATCACACTTAGCATATCTATGGTTTCCAGTAACGGGTTTGAGAGCCTGGTTGTCACTCAACCAAGAGTCTTTGTACAACAGCCCTCTTGTTCTCCACCACCCCGCCAGCTCACTGGAGATAACAGTCCCACAGGAGGATCTGCAGAGCTAGGCATGCATGTCAAAGCATTATCATGGGGCTTGGTACCCAAACAGGCACTCTCGGCATTGCTGACATTCTGGCGGGACTTTCAGACGCTAAGATGTCTTCTTACACAACAGGCAAATACGTTTCAAAAGAACAAGGGAGGAATGTGAAACATTACTTGGCCAAAATGCAGTCCTTAGACTCCCCAGACATCATTTCAGTAGGCTGCCCAGGGCATACGCAAGCACAGTAAATTTGAGGAGCTCATCCCGGGCTGTATCTACTTTAGTAATGACTTATCTGTTGACAGGTGAACAGATAGATGGAAAGACTCAAATTTTCTCAACTAGTTTAAATATTAAAATGTAAAAATGACTCCTATGGAATATGGCTCACTGCCTCTTTCCTGTTTTGAAAATGTATCTCATCTCACCCCAAAGCTGTGGATGCTACCCAGAGCCTAACATGTGCCAGGTAGGCAAGCATGCTACCACAGAGCCACCCCTAGCCCCGAAACCCCTATTCTGAAGCCAGCAACTCAAGAGGCTGGAAGTTGTGTTTCAAGGACTACCTACCTACCCATCAGAAATTGCCCCCACCGTCTGTCTGTCTGTCTGTCTCTCTCTCATACACACACTGACAAGGCAGCAGTCATGGGAAACTGGATATAGCTAGCGTTTGTTGAATGGATCACTAATGAGCTTACTTAAGATACGTAAACATCCACACTGTTTGAACATCTTTTGTACATCAAAGGGGACTCAAGTGCTTTCGTCTTGCTACAGCTTATAACTGCAAACACTGAGAAGCACAAAGCACGGACTAGTAAACTTCCAGGGAAGCATTAGTCATTTGTGAAATGAGAGGGCAGGACGGGATCAGGCATTGAAGCTGGAACACATGAGTCACTGGTGGCTTCTGGTCTGGTTCCACGGAAACCATCAACTGAAATTTGCATATGGACACAGCCATCTTTCTGGGAATACAATGCATGGCTTTTCTAAGATTCTCAAAAGGCCCAGAGCCCTAAAAGGGTTGGAAAGTTGCTAGTAACTAACTGGTCTGGCGAGAGATGTGCCCATGGTACATATACAATATGTACAATAGTGGCAAGAATCGACAGCAGCCACTACTGCTTTCTGATTGGATTTAAGACTCAGCTGGGTGGCGGTGGCATATGCCTTTAAATCCCAGCACTCGGAAGCATAGGCGGGTGATCTCTGTGAGTTAGAGGCCAGCTTGGTCTGCAGAACGAGTTCCAGGCCTGGCTCCATAGCTGTCCCACAGGAGGAAATGTAAGCAAAGTACTGTAAATCTGGCCAAGAACCCATAGGTTCTAGGAGTGAACTTCCTGTTGCTTTGCTAAGAGAGAGTATGGACCTGCTTTCAGACACGCATCTTTATACACACAGATTAGCACAATCCTTATCAGAGAAGCTCCTTAGTGACGGCCCAGTGGTTATCACAGAAATTCACAGCTGGTCAAAGTACACGGAATAAATCCAACTGGAGTGTGTTCACCCACAAACGGCTCATCTGTATCACACCGTCTCCCAGGGCCCAGGGGATATCACGGAAGAGGAGGAAACATTCTAAGAGCCAGAAGTTAGGGATGAGGACCTGGCTTCTGCGCCTGCCATGCCCTCATGAACACACAGTAGCCGCGGTTGCCTCTGTGCAGGGATAAAAGGCGTGTGCTCCCACACACTGAGACAATGGGGATGTTCTATCGGGAACCCACTAAGGCCAGCTGGCCCGGGTCTGAAAAAGCAGGGGATAAAACTGGACTCGCTGAACATAGCGGACAATGAGTACTACTGAGAACTCAAGAACAATGGCACTGGATTTTTGATCCTACTGCACGTACTGGCTTTGTGGGAGCCTAGGCAGTTTGGATGCTCACCTTACTAGACCTGGATGGAGGAGGGTGGTCCTTGGACTTCCCACAGGGCAGGGAACCCTGATTGCTCTTGGGGCTGACGAGGGAGGGGGACTTGATTTGGGGAGGGGGAGGGAAATGGGAGGTGGTGGCGGGGAGGAGGCAGAAATCTTTAATAAATAAATTAAAAAAAAAAGGTGTGTGCTGGTACGGCTGTCAATTTCTTGTGAATTCTAACCTGGATGCACCCATTGAATCATCTGGTTGTTTAAACACATGATCAAGTGTTCCTTACAGTACCCACTCCCCTTCCTAACAAAAGAGGCCCAGACTGTACAACACTTTTCGTTTTGTAGACAAGACTTTTCTCCCCAGACAGTATGATTTAATTTGCTTTAATGTAGTCTGCTATAAAAATGAAGACTTCTGCACGGTACATTTGGCTTTACAGATGTTAATAACTAGTTAATGCTCGTGTTACACCGTGCACATCATGAGAATTTATTGACCAATAACAGTTTTTCTGACATGGGTTAATACCCAAATTGTGAATCATGGAACTTTTACTTAGCACACACACAACTATTGCAAACTTAAATACTAATCTATAATATCTAACTGAATTATTGGATCCATTTCAGGATTGTGCTTATTATCTCGGAAGATAGGCAACTAGCAAAAATACACATTTCTCTTGCATATCCCACCCCCATATTACACTGTTAAAGAAATATTGTTCAGTGCACTTCCTAAGAATAAACTTCCTTATAGCATTTCTCTCTCTATAGATCTCTATCTCCAGACAGAGGGAGAGCACAATGCAACCTTTAAGATTACCATTTAAAGCAAGAGAGGTAAGAATGTTCTGGTGCTGGAGTCTCTCCTCCCGGTTAGGAGGGTCAGCTTCTGACCGGCACTGCTCTGTTTTGGCTCCGCAAGAGGAATAAATCCAGTGCAGTATTGCTTTGGGGAGTCTTAGACGACAGCGGACATCAGCGGCACTTTTATCTGCCACGCATCTACCTTCCTCAGTCAACAGTGCACTCTGCTGCTGACCTGCCCACGGATTTCACCCCCTGCCTCTCACCCACTGACTTGATAAGAAAAATATTATTAAAAGTTATTAACAATTAAATTTTGGGGAAGACTTTTTTTTTTTTTAACAGTTCTATGCTTCTCAAGAAGACCAATGTCTAATGCCTTGTGCGTTATCTAACCTGGATGGGCCCACTGAATCCTTTGGCTTCTCAAACACATAATCAAGTGTTCCCTACAGCACCCATTCCCCTTTCCTGTAAAAGGTTACAGCAGGTCGGGGCCTTCTGGATAGATGCTGGCTTGGAGGATGCATACAGACACTAGGTCATCCTCTCTCCCACTCCGGATACAACGCTGTATAACCAGTGTCCTGAGCTGGCCTGTCTAGAGTTCTGCTTGCCGACAGGGAGACTGTTCTGTTCTGGGGACTCAGTCAGATGTAGCTGACACAGCAGAGAAGCCCAGAGGTTCCTGTGTATACGAAGTCACTATGAGGGAAACAGCAGAAGGTCTGGGATGAAAGGGGTCGCAGCTTGGTAGCTCATGCGCCGAAATCAACGGCAGCCATGTTTATCTAATCAGCAGTGTTTAAAACCGTTTTGAATCAGTTCCTGGAAATAATTTTCTTACAGAAATTTGAATTCCTTGAATGTTTGGAGAACTGATAACCTTGGTCTGGAATTTCTGCATGGCAGCAGCTGGGGCTCAAAGGGGTGGCTCTATTACACGGGGCTGTGACACTGTGGCTTGCTACATCCCTTCTACTACAAACTAGCGGGCGGCAATTGAAGGACCAGCTGAGTTCTGCAGCACCAGGGCTACTCTAGTTGTGCCTTTCTACGACGCTGACGATTCGGGCTTCATCTGGGACGGCCCCACTTCCTTGTGAAATGGATTCCTTTGTTGGCTGGCTGGCTCCAAGCCACATGAGGTTGCTTTGGTAGGTAATCTTAACATGCGATTCTACTTGTCCTTCACATACACTGCAGACTCCAAAGGTACAATCACACTAATATTTATGTGCTTAAGAGTGAGAATGCTGAACACGTAAAGGGGCATGTATCTATACAGAAATATGTATACTTCCATTTGGGCAGAAGTTAATTTGGTTCCACAGATACAAGTGCTGGCAGCATCGAGAATAAACGTAACCATTTGGTAAGACCTGTATAATTCTGACTTACAATATTACAAAGAGTGACTTTTTAAGTTATTGCTTTTTGATTACAGAAAAAAGAGTTCATTATGTCGTTTCCTGTTCAAGTAGAAGCGACCAGAACCGGAAGTTCCCAACAGTCGATGCTCGAAGGTGGTTTGGAATGGAGATGTGATTTCACTCTGGTCAAGGATTGATGTGGGAAACTTGAGGATGACTTAATTTTTTCAAGAGTACAAGAAAATCAGCACCCCAACTGCTCAGTGCGCGGGAGGGTTTCTCAAGGGCTCAGTGACGCTCAAAGCTTGCCCTGACAGAGAGTTCACGCCCCTTTGGAAGGATTTCCACTCCACTTCCGCAAACCTCGGGTCAGAACACAAAGCTGGAATCAACAGTCAGAGAGGATTAAGAGCAGTGTTGGCTTTTGACATTCAGATTCAGAGGATCTCGGTCTTTCATGTCTGCCGCAGAATCGCTCGTGTGGCAGTCTTAATTCAGGCACTTTTAAAGCATCTTCATCTGGAATAAAAATCTGCACGAACTGCTTCTGCAGAACTTGCAATGAGTGCTGAGTGATTCTAGCTCCAAAGCCAACTGTAGATCACCGCCAACTTCTCCATCGCCAGACGCTGGTGACCGTGGAGCTTGAGATGTCTATGAGGTCCCCTTCTAGCTCAGTACAAACAGGCGAGTCATAAAAACCCAGAGTACTCAGTTTCTACTTAAAAAAATACAAAAGGTAAATACACTGAATGTATTACACAGATGGCTGTGGCTACTATCAAAATAAATAACATGATCCGACTCCAAGGTTTAACTCGGAACTCTTGAACGAAATCTGGTGGAATGTCAAATGTGGAGACCCACTTCTGGGGACTAGCTGCTGGTAGGCACAAGTATCTCAACGTCCTTGCCGTTGGCCACCACGGCATTGGGAGAGCAGTTGCTGGCGAGGTCTTCTGTGGTGGTCAGGGAGGACACATGGGAATGAGTTTTGGTCACGGGAGTGGCGGCAGACTGGGATGGGGTGAGGCCAGGCTTTTTGGGTGGGATTGGTGGAGGGTTTCCTCTCTCGGCTCTGGGGATGGTTGGGGACTTGATTCCTGGAGACAAGGGGCTCAGAGGACTGGACACTTTGCCTGGAGTAGGCGAATGGCTAGCGTCACCTCTTGGGTTGGCAGTGCTGGCCAAGTTCCGGTAGTCTGTACCAAAGGGAGAGCTGCTGGGAGAGACTGGCTTGATGGGCCCCTGGCTAGTGAATCTGGACAGCACCTGTGTGACCGTGTTCCGGGCCAGCTGCTTGGCAGCAGAGTTGTCTAAAAGGGTAGGGGACAGGTCCCTGGATGGAGGGCTCTGCAGACCACTGGCCTGCTGATCTTGGTCTGCTTGGGACTGAAACTTGTGCCGAGCTGCGTGGAACCGCTGGTTGATTCCTACTTGGTAGGAAGACTGGTAGCCGGGGCTGCTGACCGACGACCCCAAAAGACGCTTAGTTAGAACTGGCGAAGAGCAGGGAGAGGAGGTCAGAGAGGAGGAGGCGGTGCTGCTGGGAGACAGTGAGCTGCCACTGGAAGGGAGGTGACTCGGCATTGTGACCGGAGTTTCAGCTCCCACAGGACACCCGCCATTCTCCACCGGCTTCTCCTGGGCTGAGACAACAGATTTCTCTCGCGGAGGCCCTTGGTTTTCTGTGCTGCTGCCCGAGGTCAAGTCCCTGGTAGTTTGTATTTCCGGGTCACAGTGGCCATTGACTTTTGCGTAGGAGTAAGTAGGAGTGGTGGGACCAGGAAGACCAGCGTCTGTCAGCTTGGTTAGGATGCTCCCGTGGCTTCTCTCCACCTGAACACTCTCTGTTTGGCAGAACACTGACACCAGCAGCGGGGGCTCTGTGGCTGTGCCCCTGGATGCGGTCGCTGGCCCTCTGCACCGCTCACTGGAGCCACTGCGCTGCTGGGCGGCCTCCAGGTCCCTCACAAGCTTCTTCAAGTCTTCAATCTCGTCCTTCAGGGCTCTGGTCCGGTTCACCTCTCGGTTCAGTTTGGCTCTCAACTGCTCCCTCTCGATATCAAACTCAGACAACTGCTTCTCCACCTGGGCCTCCGTCTGCAGGCCCCGTTTCCTCTCAGCTGCCAGTTCTTCCTCCAGCTTACTCGCTCGGCTCCTCTCCTTCTCCAGTTTCAGGCTCAGCTCTCCGGCCTTCTGCCCCTCCTCAGCCGCCTTGCTGGTGGCCTTCTTGCACTCAAGCACCAGCATGGACGAGAGCTGCTTGTGGCGGGAGCGCTCCTCTTCCAACTGACTGGACAGCTTTTTTTGTTCTTTTTCAAATTTTTTCACTTGGGACTTTTCGAATTCCAACTAGGAAGAAAAAAAGTCAGCACACATCTTGATTAGAGCAGGGAAACCATGGTCATAGGGAGTGCCCTCCCTCGCTAGCTGCGCTCTGGGGCATGGTGCTAGCCTGTATGCTGGCGCTTAGGCTAATCAGTATTTCTGAAGTCTGAAGACATCCCACACAGAACCCACACACACTATGATCTAATCTTTGCTTGACGACTTGGGAGGCGTTTGGGTTCCTAACTGCCTCAGGGCGAGCAGCGGGAATATGATGCTCCATTGTGCTTTAGGTATGTGGGGAGAACACAGAAGCAGCCAAAACAAATACAGAACATATGCAAGCTAGATCTGGGGATGAAGGCCACTGAAAATCAAACTTAAAGTTCCAGCAATCATTTTCTCTGATCTAAAAAAAAAAGAACAAACTTAAGTAGCTGCACTTAAATCCTCATGCATTAGACAAGGTCTTACTCTGAGAGTGGCTTTGAACTTGAAATCCTCCTTCCAACTGCTAGGATTAGAGGCATGCACCACCATCCTTGGATCTACCTAAATGTACTTTGTCTAATATTATCACACAGACTCGGAATGAGAGGGAACAGGGTAAGTCATGATCATATTTAAAAAAAAAATTAAAGAGTGTTGACTTCAAGGCTAGCATGATCTACATAGTGAGACCATGTCTAAAGATTTGAAAACAGAACTGTATACTATAGGAATGAAGGGTTGTTTCGTGTCCTGCAATCTTTGCTTCAGGTACATTGAATTGTGACAGGCCACACTGTTACTGTAGATCAGGCAACAACAAAAACCTCTGAGAATCAGAGACCTCTAAAGTATGTGCTACAGATGTCAGCTCCACTAAGTGCTCTATGTTGTTTAGTTTCTAAGACTGTGTACTTGTGGGTGTTGTAGGGGTTACGAGTGCGGGCGTCACTGCAGACAAAAAGGAGGGCATCAGATCCCCCAGAGCTGGAGTTACAGAGAGCTGTGAGCCACCTGATGTGGATGTGGGGGCCAAACTTGGGTCCTCTGCAAAAGCAGTGTGTGCTCTTAACACTGGGGAGCTGAGCCATCTCCCCAACCCCAAGTAACCTATGTTTAAAAAAAGAAGACGTTTTGGAAACAGACACGATAAACATCCTATCTTCTCTCTGAAGACTTATAATGTAATATTGCACACTGGAAATGAACTTAAAAAATGTCACTCTAAGCAAATGCCATCATGCTCTTTCTTCCTGAGTTACCTGTTGCGTCAGCCTCTCCCTCTCCTTCTCCAGCATGTAGGTGACATCATCTCCTTCTGCGGTGTCCTGCGCGTGCCTCTGCCTCTCTTCTTCAAGGTCAAGGATCACCTATAAAGGATTTAAAAATATTTACTTTCAAATATCAAGTAATCACATTTATATCACTTAACCCTGGAGGGTTCCAGATTAAATAATAAACAAATGAAATCCAGCCAGGGTCGTCAAGGAGCATGCTGTCTAGCACGGTGAAAGACATGCAAGTTATGTGCTAGAAAACAGGCTATTTACTTTGCTCAAGTATGTGCAGAAGAATGCAAGCAGAGACAAGAGAGCGACTAATTAGCTGTGGGGTTCAGAGGGTTTGAGCACCAGCAGAAGTCTGGGAAATCATACGCAGTTGGAATGACCAGGGACCTGCTGGGGTGGGGTGCGTGCGTGCGTGCGTGCGTGTGTGTGTGTGTGTGTGAGAGACAGAGAGAGAGAGAGAGAGACAGAGACCTTACAAGGCTGGGTATTACTCTCAATGCTGTCACTGGAGGTACCAAAATGGGAATTTGAAATTAAACATCTCAGATGGGACATCCTGTGCCTTACTTAATAAGAATACTTATTTTTGTATACCTAGATAAGACAGGAAAGGCTCCTACTTCATCCTACGTGCAGAAGGCCCAATTACTAGGATCCTAAGTGATGATTTTTCAGAAAACTCTGACTTGTCCATTTATCCTGTGGAAGGATCCAAATCCACACCATGTCCTGGATAGGAATGTATCACTCAGTAGCCTCCGCTTCCGGAGTGGCTCGGCCCAGCCCTCCAGGGCACAGCACTGTCAGCTACCTCGATGGTCATTTCTCATGACTTTGGCTCATAAAAATTCATAGGAATGAAGAAAGAAGAATTTCTATGACATGGAATTCCATTTTAAAATGAAAACCAAGCATTGGGTCACATGCCTATAATCCCAGGATTCAGAAGGCAGGGGCAGGAGGATCACTATGACTGTGAAATCAGTCTGGTCTATACAAAGAGTTCCAAGTCAGCCAGAGCTATAAAGGGAGATTTGGCCTCAAAAATAAATAAAAAATGAAAACATATTAGCATTTGAACTTTAAAAAAATCTAGTTTTTAAATTTAATAGAAAGATTTTTGGTTAAACTTTTTTGGTAGACATGGTTTACCTATCCTCTCTTTTAAGAGCCCTTTAAAATTACAAAAAAAGGGGCTGGAGAGGTGGCACGGAGGTTAGGAGCATTGACTGCTCTTCCAGAGGTCCGGAGTTCAATTCCCAGCAACCACATGGTGGCTCACAACCGTCTATACATGCAGACAGAACACTGTATATATAATATAATAATTCTTTAAAAAAATACAGAAAGGAATAAAAAGAACTATAAAGTATCAGAGACAAGAGTGGCTTTAATAGGGGAGAAAGCTTTTTAAAAGACTCATTTTATTTTTATTTATGTGTGGTGTAGATGAGTGTGGTTGCCCACGGCGGCCAGAGTTCATGGAGCTGCCGTTACAGGTGGTGGTGCCTGATGTGGGTGTGTTGGGAACTGAACCTAGACCCTTTGGAAGAGCAACTAGCGCTCTTTACTGTTCGGCCATCTCCCAGGCCCAGACAAGTTTTAATGACATTCTGAAGTGGGAAAAGAGCAGTCTTCAGACTCCCAAAGAGCTGGGACCTGGAAATAGCAGGGGCTTCAGGGAGGCTGGTTCAGAGCCTGGACTTTCAGACGACTAGGAAGACTCTCCCTTAAAGTAGGTATGGAAAGTATATATCTGTAACCCCAGTGCTTGGGAGCTAGAGCTGAAGGTCATCTTTACCTCCATGTGAGTTCAAACCTAGTGAGGGCTACACGAACCCACAAATCCACGTGGGGGCTGGGCAAGGGAAGAGGTGACTAAGGAACTCTGCTTCCATTACAAGCAGTGAGCGCATTATCGCTGTGTGCATCCCAATCTTTCCAGAGGTGAAGGGTCAGTTAACAGCCACACCACAGCAAAGGGCAGACATAGGGAACATTCCGCGAGTTCAGACTATAAGCTTCCTCTTACTATAGACCTCGAAGAGCTAATTGATTTCTGGCAAATTAAGTGCCCTACTTGGTAACATTCCCAGGAGCAGACAGGTACTCTGTTGGGTAGGCGATGCAACCTTCCCACACGGCATGGTGACACACTGAGAGCTGAAGGCCAGCCTGGCTTAGAGAGGACCCTGTCTCAAGAAACCAAACTGAACAGGCAAATCACTTGTTTTCAAAAATTTAACGCTACTTACATTTCACACTGTAACAGTATACTAAGGAATTTTCAGTTATTTTTAACTTTCTCCTCTCTCCAGTCACCTAGACCTGAAACTGCACTACACCTTCCATGACACTATGCCATTAGGCATAGTTCGGTCACTTCCTGGATGAAGTGGGAATAAGGCCTGCTCACCACTTGAGGATCTGATGAAGATTTTTTTATCTTCATCATGTGAAAGTCCCAACTTAGGCCACATTTCAATGCACTGCCAGGAATGTTCTAGATGACACATTCTAGGTTAGACTCAAAAGATCTTAGGCAACTTTGGGAATTTGACTAAAAGTAAAAAAATACACTTCCATAAAAATGCATATACTTCTGATATTTTATGTATTTTAGGAGATATCTGTGGCCTACCCATGATTAAGGACCTATCCTTTGGACTCAATGAAGAAAGACGAAGACTGACAGGCAAGAAGACCCAGCCTGGGGACAACCTATCAAATAGGGCTTTAGCAGTGAGCTCTTGTGGAGAGGACCATGGGAACGAACTAATGTCCACTAAGTCTGAAGCTGCCGACCTCATTTTTCTGGTTAAAATGTCTCCTACAAAACACTGCTGATGCCTATCTCTGTAGGTCCAAATCTAAACTGCTAGTTTGTTTTTTTTTTAATGCAGATTCTTGCCAAACATCGTCTGCAGGCCAAAACTGAGCAGCGAACGACAAGCTGAGAAACGAATGTACCCTCACTAAAACTCTGAAGATGAAGCGCGCAGGGAGCACAGGCTTGCCCTTCCTTCTGAGCTATCAGACAGAACAGAGTGCCTGCCCTCCACCCAGTATAGGAAAAGCTTAAAAGCAAGCATCCTAGGAGCTGTTCACGGCTTTACAAGTAAGCATGCGATGAAATACAGAACTAGAATGGATGGAACAATCTCCATGCCTGCATGGCTGCAATCAGGTAGATTTATCCTCTTTCTTCCCTAAATGCTCTTTATTTATCACTTAAGTAAGCAAACAGAGAACGCTCTGTTCAGCTACAAGCTTGGTCAAACACTCGCTTGTTGCCAAAGTTTGGAAGATTGAAAATAAAATGCACCAAGTGTTCTGGAGTGCCGTACAAGAAGGAGTGTCTCCTGCAGGAATGTCTGCCCAGTCCTTAAACTGAACCCGTGCAATCATCTGTGCTCCTTTTGTGCTCCCCTGGCTCCCATGTCACTGAAGGACCTCTTTATACCAAGAGGTCCCCTGGCCCATCAGAGTCCCATGAAACCTGGTGTCGGACAGGATAGGAGGCATTATTTCCAGAGGCCTCTGAGGATTCCCGAAGCACACACCTGCCGATGGGCGAGCCTACCTTTCGGTGCCTGCTCTCGGCAGCAGCCAGCTGGGACAGCATGCGCTCCTGCATGTTCTTGCATTGCTTCATCACCACCTTAAGGATAGAGAGGGGGTTTGTGCACACTGGCTGCTTCTCACTATCATTCTTTTCCTTTAGTGTTTCAAAATCTCTCTGAAGAGCCATTAGAGGGTCACTGATGTTATATTTTCCATAGCGTTCTTCAATGAAAGTATCTCTGTGTTGGGCCTGAGAATAAGAAAGAGCAAAGAACAAGACAAAATCATTAGTCTGAGGCCTGAGCTCAGGACGTATTAAAGGTGGTAACGTTAGTGGAAGCCCGACTACAGATCAAGAGGAGCCACAAAGACAGGCAACTGCGGAGGTGAGCAGTGTGATAACACGAACAAAGCGAATGATTACAGGGAGCTGACCTGGTATCAGACATTATCCAAACAGGTACGGCCATATTAACTCGGACACTTTTATAACCCCAAATTGCTAATCATCTCCTTTTTGCCGATGAGAAAACCATTACAAAGAAGACGGTTACCCAGCTAGCCTGCCTCCAAAGTCCCTGTCTGGAAGCAGGCTCACTGCCTCTGCATGCGTCTGTCCGTGTTACCTTCAGGTTTATCCCATCTTCCTTCTGTTAAAGTACTAAGCGCGATGACTTTATGAGTTTATAACTTGGGAGACAACAGGGAGCCGGCAGGAGCGCAGAGGATGCAAGTCTGGACATAGGAGAGAGTCCAGGACTCCTTGCGATCTGCAGAGAGAACTCGACTGCACTGTTGATGAGACCATGGCGGGGGGGGGGGGGGAGCGCTTGCACAACCACAGCTGAAGACAAAAACCCCTTCTGCCTGCCACTAAATTCTACCCCTTTGTCAATCTCCCATCAGCCTCTAGCTCCCTTAGTCTTCTTAGTCTTTTCTGTTCCCCTGAGCAAGCAGCCATCTAAGGACAACAAGCGCTTGGGAAGACACTTCTGTGTCCTTCTTGTGGTACTGCTGCTCGGGGCAGCTTTAAGGATTACATGGGGGAAGCAACAAGCACTACATGTAGGCAGACAGCAAGACCCTGTCTAAAACAAGCTGTCCTGCCACCACAAGACTGGAGTAGTTCAATGATATTTACATGACAGAAACAGAAATTTAATTAAATTGAATATATTCTTTCTTTTTTAAAAATCACCATGTGTACTGGTACATGGAGGTCCTTAGTTGAGGAGGAGGTTGGTCTTGAACTCTGGCTGGATTTACAGGCATGAACTGTCACACCAGGCCTAAAACCAAAGTCCTCCCATCTTCTTTCATTTTCTTTATTCTTTCTCTTTCCTCTCAGCCTAAGGATCTAACCTAGAGTCTCCTATAGCTCCTGTCCTGGCCACACTTCTGGTTACTGATGTAACCATGGCTGCATCATCAGTGTGATAAATGGACAACCACCATCACTGAGATTGATCTGGTAGGGCAAAAGAAATAAAATAAGATGGAATTAAAAAAAAAATTTAGTAACCTTTTCTTTTCAAAACACCATGGAGAAAATGGGATGGGAGAAACTGCAGCTTCTCCTCTGGCCACAGAACAACTGGTGACCTCGACATCAGTTCTGCTGAGAAGCTGTCTGTCAGGTTTGAGTATATAGTTAACTAATCCTAAAAACATGACTTTAAAACCCACATAGTGATTATCCTATATAATTAATAAGCACCAGAGTCCCAAGTAATGGGAGCGTCTCTGGTGAGCCTCGGCCCGAGAACAGCTGTCTGGCTGTCTGCTTTCTCTCCGAGTACTGCGGAACAGTTCCAGTCACCTGCACGGTGATTACAATCCACACAGATGGCTTCATCTGTCAGTGAAAGGACGCTGTGGACAGACTCTAGTCACACAGCAATTCTACCACAGGGCCAAACACAGAAAAGCTCAACTTGAAGGCTGTATTTATGATACCAAGCACCTAGAAAATGGGAGACAATACAGTTTCCAACCAATTTATGGGCTACAAGTTTAATTGTAAATACAGTGAGAAGCAAAACCAAATGCTAAAACTTAAATAATGAAAGTAACTTTTATGGGGGTACGTGCTGGTTATTTGTTGCTGCATAACAAACAGCCCCCCAAATCAGCAACTTAGATAATACTCATTTTATCTCACATGACATCCGATGGTTAGGATTCTAGGGTGAGGGGTTAACTGGGTGGTTCTAGATCAGGATCTCATAGTGCACAGCATGCAGCTGATCCAGACCAACGTCTCAGGAGTGCAACACCACCTTGGGACATCCTAGATGGGACCACACAGGGGAAGAGCAGCAGGAGGCAGTGCTTACTGCCAGGGAGCAGGGACTCCTCAGAGGCTGGCCACAGACAGGGGACGAGATGTGTGCCGCTAACACTACATTTCAGGGTGAAGTTTGAAGGCCCAAACTGCCAACACTGAGCTTTAATATTTTAATGACATTTCAGCTATTAAGAAATATAATTATAAGGCACTCAAGTACACGAGGGGCGGGATGTGATCTTGGGTTTGAGTTTTGGAGAAATTTAGTAATAAAGCTAAAATCAGTCAATTTCCTGTTTCATCATTTTTACTTTGCTTTAAGTGACAATATAAACTCTAGGTGAACAGAAATTCCTACATTTTCAGAAACCACACTGGCCTTTAATTTCAGAGACGAGGAAAATAATTGACTTGCCAGACAGACTTGGCGACAGGGGTGTTATCAACAGACAGAACACACTGGCCATCTTCGGCGGCAGGGGTGTTATCAACAGACAGAACACACTGGCCATCTATTACTCATTTCTTTTCAGTTCACAGGCTGGAGGAAACACATCACAAGAGAAGGCTTAAAATAACATCACAGAACAGCCCTGGAGCCTGCCATACTTAGTCTCCAAAGTCCCAGCTGTGTTATCACTGACTTCAAAGAGAAAGCCAGGCACTCAGACCAAAGCAGGAGAACTGAGAGTTTCAAGCCAGCCTGAGCCACAAAGGAAGATTTTGTTTCAAGCATCCCCGGACCCCAAGAATAAAAGTAGTTTCCTTTTCTACCTTCCTAGTATGTGTGGAAGACACAGGAGTACACACAGTCCAGCTGCCTTCCTAGTATCATGTGTGGAAGACACAGGAGCACACCAGTCCAGCTGCCTTCCTAGTATCATGTGTGGATGACCCAGGAGTATGAATAGTCCAGTCTCAGGCAGGAAGTCAGTCCGTATATTCTTTGGCTGGCAGGGTGCTGGCCTAGCAGGCACGAAGTCCCAGGTTCCACCCTCAGCACAGTATGAAAGTGCGTACTGTCTGAAGTCCCAGTTCTTAGGAAGTGAAGGTGGTGGACCAGAAATTCAAGGTCATTTCCAGCTAAATATCAAGTTTGGGGCCAGCCTGGGCTACGTGAGGTCCTGTCTCAAAATAAAGCATAACAGACTAACAACTAGGCAGATAAATGGCTTAGCTGGTAAAGGCACTTGCTGCCACGCTTATAACCTCAATTTCATCCTTAGGGCCTCTTAGAGCCAACTTCTGTAAGTCTGTGAGAGTGCTGTGGCATGTGCCCCCCCCCCCCAATAAAAAAAAAGTGTTATCAGCGGCCTTTGAAGTAGAATGGACTTCAAACACCCCTCAAAGCAATCTTCAGGCACAGATGTTTAAGAAAGCAATTATTTACATAAGGACAGACGACTATTTATTATTGTTTGACTAAAGTGTTCTAAATTCTATTCAGGACTAAGAGTGGATTTAATCTAAGTAGCTGTAAGTGTGGCTGCAAGGAGCGGTGTCAACACCCAAATTTCAAAGTCTGTGAAAAGTTTTGATGAAACCAAAGGAAACGTGGACTATGTCCGTCCTGCTGTCGGGTCCCTCCCCTCCAGGAATGAGGCTTGATGGGAGGGGTATGGACTTTCTGGCCCGGATCCATATGCTCACCTTTTTGATGTGGGGAAGAAAACATGCATGGGAATTCATCAGAAAAGAAAGAACTGATAAAGGGCAAATACTACCAAACATAAATCAAGGATTTTAACATACATTAAAAAACTACTTTATGACAAAGAAGCAAAAAATATCAAATGGAAAAAAGAAAGCATATTTAACAAGTGGTGCTGGCATAACTAGATATCAACATGTAGAAAAATGAAAATAGACACAAATCTATCACCATGCACAAAACTCAAGTCCAAATGGATCAAAGACCTCAGCATAAAGCAGCCACACTGAACCTTATAGAAGAGAAAGTGGGAAATACACTTGAATGTATTGGCACAGGGAACCACTTCCTAAACAGAACCCCAGCAGCACAGACAGTGAGAGAAACAATTAATAAATGGGACCTAAACTAAAAAGCTTCTGTAAAGCAAAGGACACAGTCAACAAGACAAAATGACAGCCTACAGAATGGGAAAGGATCTTCACTAACCCACATCAGACACAGGTCTGATCTCCAAAATATACAAAGAACTCAAGAAATTGGACACCAACAGAACACATAATCCAATCAAAAAAATAGAGTACAAACCTAAACAGAGAACTCTCAACAGAGGAATCTAAAATGGCTGAAAGACACTTGAGGAAATGTTCAACATCCTTAGTCATTCGAGAAATGCAAATCAAAACAACTCTGAGATTCCATCTTACAGCTGTAAGAATCCCCAAGATCAAAAACACTGATGACAACTTATGCTGGAGAGGTTGTGGGGAGAAAAGGGAACACTTCTGCATTGCTGATGGGAATGCAAGCTGGTACAACCCCTTTGGATGTCAGTATGGCGATTTCTCAGAAAATTAGGAAACAACCTTCCTCAAGACCCAGTAATACCACTTTTGGGTATATTTCCAAAGGATGCTCAATCGTGCCACAAGGACATGTGCTCAACTATGTTCATAGCAGCTTTGTTTGTCATAGCCAGAACCTGGAAACAACCTAAATGCCCCTCGACCAAAGAATGGATAAGGAAAATGTGGTACATTTACACAATGGAGTACTACACAGCCGAAAAAAAATAACGACATAATGAATTTTGCAGGAAAATGGATGGAGCTAGAAAACATTATTTTGAGTGAGGTAACCCAGACACAGAAAAACAATTATCACATGTACTCACTCATAGGTGGTTTTTAAACATAAAGCAAAGAAAGCCAGCCTACAAACCACAATCCCAGAGAACTTAGACGACAATGAAGACACTAAGAGAGACTTACATAGATCTAATCTACATGGGAAGTAGAAAGTGTAAAAAGAC